CTATTTAAACAAATGATAATTCCTTCATGATGTAAGAACCAATGCAAGGATGACAGTCATAGACCAATACATGTTTGCCAAGACTTGTTCTATGTACAATCCCAAATGTGTAGAGTTAAGCTTAAAGTTAATATTTTAAACTTTAATGTATAATAATAATTTAAATAAAAATCTAACCCACATATGAAATATTACAGGAACATGTTAAATCTGTTACAGAATTTTGTTGTTCTTTTAAGTTGGTCCTGACATGCTAAAAGATCATCTATATCATGTTTATTTGAATATTTGGTTAAAATCAATGATAAATGTATGCAGAATCTTTGTTTCAACAAAAATACTGTCAAGATTTATGCACACACAGTGCAAATTTAAAGCCATAATAACAGCTTTCAACATATTGAAAATTAAATGCATAATTGCTTTCCTTTCTTGATAATGAAATTGTCAGAGAAATGTTCAAAAACTCTCATTTTTTTATCCCCAACTGCAGACGGTGTTTAGATTTCTGCTGATTAGACCTCTGAACAGGAATATTGCAAGAATAACCAAGCTGCTGTGAAAAATTGCCTTGAATACAGAGACTATTGGTAATATGGTCAAAACTGACTGAAGCTAAAATGTACAGTATCTCTGGATAGGAAATTTGCTTGCGTTTCTTTGGTCCAATAAGATGAAGGAAGGCCTGACTGTTAGGAGTCTCCATGAGTGCCTTTACAACAGTAACCCCACATCCAGTATTAATGGATTCTGTCTGAACACGGAGAATGTGCTGCTTAACACAGACTTACACACACACTAAAGGCAGAAGCACATCTGCTCCGTGACTTCATCGGTTCTGCTATCTGCAGAGCAGATGCATAGGCCTGGCAGGCAATTAGCAGCCTGAGCTGATTTTCTCTGAGCCCTCTGTGGAACCAGCAGCTGGCTCTCTCTGGGTTTGGACAACATCAACAAAACGTATGAACAAGAACATCAAAAATTTACCCTGGTGGTTCCCATGTCTGTGGGATGTTAGTATAAGCATGCATGTGGTTTTGTGCTTTGTGTTTACACCTATTATAATACTAGTAAAAAAACAACAGGAATCTTAAAAAGATGAGTATTTAATCTTAAAACCACTAATTTGTCTAGGGAAGACCGTTCTCAGCCTGTGGCTAAGGGACAACATGTGGTCTTTCAGCTACCAAATTGTGGTTCTCACATATAAAGAGTAATTCATCTATCTAAATGTAAAGGGAATACTAAAGGAGCAATATAAGCCTTTATTCAGTCTGCCTCGATGCTTTATCTGCAAAGTTTTCCATAATAGATACATTTAAGGTTTTTTTTTTCATCTACTCATTTCATTTATGCCATTTTCTATTTAAGCATCATTTTTTATGTTTTTATTTTTTTATTTTACACATGCCACTAAAAGTCCCATGTGGACTTTATTGTACTCATGATCCATTTTCCAAAAATATATATGACCTACACATAGTTAGGAGGACTACAAGGAATGCATATTTAAGGTGAAAAAGTATTCTGATTAAAAAAAGTTACATTTCGCTTATTTTCCAGTATTACATATACCATAGTACACCAGATATGTTTTTTTTTTGGTTGCTATTTTTTCAACTTTAATTGCCAGGATGTACATTGAAAACTGTTAAAGCCATAAATAGAAGGAGAGAAAGGACTTAAGGAATGGAGAGAGAAAAAAAATGAAGCAGCGGGGTTGCCCATGAGCTGGCACCGATTTGCAAAGCCATGGACACTTTGTGCTGCTCTTAGGGGATCACAGTGGAGTCAAACAGACAGAGATCAAAGGGCTCTTTGACAGCCTCTTGATCTTTTATCAAAAGGTCCATATAAATCAAAGAGAGACTTTTCTGAAAGCTCATATAATTCTTAATGTTTTCACTAAATATTATTGAGTGAGTGACAGTTAGGCTTGGTTGCTAAAAAGACACATACACTTAAAAGGTCCAAAAAAGGCAGCACATAAAGAAAACAGAAACCTAAAATGTAACCTTCCAACATTTGTAAAAACGAGGGAAGATCCTGCTTTGATTTCTTTTGTGTGCATGCACATGGTAAAGAACTCATACACGAGAGCCCTGTAAAAGATAGTGAGAGGAGCTGATCAGCTCAGCTTACAATTGTTATGGCCCCCTCCTGGATTGAAAGCCCCATGTGATATTGAATTTAAACTGATAGGCTGACAAATGCAACATGCTAAAGGAACACATTTACAGTTTTCCTTGAGAGTCAAAATGTGAAGCTTATTTGATACTTTTTGCTGTATATGTCTGATCCGGGGGAACCATTCAGATATTAGAATTAGTCTTTTGGTCTGTGGTTTCTCGTGAATTTAAAGTTAAGCATTTCCCTAATAGCCAAAGAAGAAAAACACCTATATATCCATAGATATATCTATATATAAATATATGTTTTTTTTTATATAGCAGTGCTTCTCTTAGTTTGATAAATCTTCACGCATTAGGCTTCACAGTTCCACCAAAAATATTTGAAGTAAACTTGTTCATATCACTGCTATGCACTTATCTCTTTAATGTATTTTTGGAAGTTTAAGTGAATTACTCACACTCCCTATGTTACATTCTGATCTCAATAAAGCTTTGTAGTACTATAGAAAATAAAGCAAGAATACTGTATGTTAAAATGGGAACATGTTCTCCCTGAAATCCAAAAGCTTGAAACTTCTCTTACTTATTTCATCTTATATGGCCACATATACCAATGACCATCTCCCTTTTAGGTCCAGAAAATAAAAACTGAATCTTACTTTAAATAGCTTTGTTCATCTCTGTAAGTCTTTCATTTTGTGGTCGTATGTAAAATGTTTAGCTTGTATTTGAGTTTTTTTTTTTTTTTTTTAAGATTTAAGAATCAAATGTCTAAAAACTTTTCTCTTAGTTCTGAGAACAAGTTCGTATGACACTAAACCTACTCAATGGGGCAGAAACCAATTAAATCCGTGTCTAGGATGCAATGAGTAAAAAGACCAGAAATATGCTAGCAACTTACCTCCCCATCCTCTGATTTATTCCTTAATAAAACATGATCTGTTTGTACTATCAAAGCAAGCCAATCCAATAAAAGCAAACATAAAAAAAAAACAGTTTATATGAAAACAACAAGTGTTGCTCTTCAGGCAATATTCCCATAAAAAACAAAGAGTTTATAAAAAAGAATCAATGTTTTCACTGGAAGAAAAAGCACCGACTGAGCTCAACAAAGCAAAAATCATTGTTTTCATAATTCTGAACAAAAAGCGCCGTTGTTACATCGTTTTAAAAATACCCTATGTGCATATACATTTCTATTACAATATTTGTTTTTGTGTCTACTCATTTACATTTTAGTTCAACTAATTACTTAAAATAAATTCCTAGTCAAAAACTGACCAGACAATAGACATCTGGGTTTTTTTTTAAGATTATATAATAAACTAATAAATGTATGTTATTTAAACATATTGACTTTGTTTAGAATAGTTTAGCAGAATTATATTTCTGCAAATTAGGATTTTGATTCATTCCAAAAATAATTTTTAGTCTGATATTAAAGAAAAAATAAAACTTTTTGCTTGCTTTAATCAAAACATTTTTTTTGAAAAGTTTCCTTGTATTTGAACACAGAGCCAAAATTGCATATGGGGACTTTAATCATGCCCTTACGACATACATCTATTTTTTTTAACATTGCAGTAGCCCATCACCCTTTTCAAAAATAATTTTAACAAATGAAAAGCAATTTACATTTTAATTGCCAAGTTACACACTAATTTAACTTAAATACAAATCTTTTTAAATGCAATAGACCCTAAACCAGCATTCAATTATGGAAAAACATGTATAGATGCAACAGCTCAACTAAAAAGTTTATTTTGTTGAAAAGGAAATAACAGTTTATTTCATGGCAGGAGTGCAGCCTATTTTATTATTCCATTCAGACACGTGTAAATATGTCTCACACCACCGCCCCTTGTCTGTGGGTGACGGTAATGTTTTTCTTCTTTTTTTTTCCTACTTTACCAACAAGAAGTCTTAGAGCTGCATGAGGGACTTCAATTAGAACCTCAAGAAAAACCCCAGCTTAAATTATTCAGCATGCAAGGTTAATGGAAAAGAACCCACCGGCAAATGAAGGCGAGACGGTGAGGGGGAGACTGCGGTCCCAACATGCATCAGGTTTCTGACTGATTAAAATGCTTAAAACGAGTTTAGTTTAAAATGTTTAACAAATATGCACGACCGGTGCAGAATAAAGTCTGAGCAAATCTATCCAGATCTCCCGAGGCCGAGCTGCAGGTGCATTCAGCCTTTTAGACGCGCACCGACTGGAAAGCATTACGCAAACATTGGGAGGCCTTGAATATTTAAAATGTACACTGAACATGCTGTTAATTCTGAACGGGACAAGAGACAGTGTGTGTGTCTTATAGAAAATGTATTAAGCAAATCCCATACATGTTTTATTTATGACGGGGAGTTTTTTAATAGGAAAGGAACAAAACGCTATTTTTTTAAAGAAAATAACAAAATTACTTTACGTTTTAAATTATAACTCATTTATGTCGAATATCTAAATCATACCGGTAATAATAGAACAAAAATAGGTTATTTTCTTACATGAAATAGAACGTTTCTATATTTAATTGAAACATTGATAGTAAACATCACACATAAGAGGCGCAGAAGACTGAGTTTATACACGGTGGTTGTTTTTTCCCCTTAAAAAATGCTCTATAATAGGACTGAGCGCATCCGACAATATCAGGTTCAAAAAGCAGTGTTTTACTTTATGTTCAGACGATGCAGACCGGTGTTGGTCTGAAGCTGGAGGCTGTGCATCCCTGTGAGGAGCTGCGCTGCGCTGCGCGCTGCGCTCCTGTAGGAGCGTCTTCCTCTCGGCTGCTCTGATTGGCTGCTTCCAATGACAGCTCCGCACATGATTGCAGGAAGAAAAGCCCGACCCCCTTTCACTCTTCCAAAGGAACCATTCATAAACTACACAAACCCAGCTTAAAGCTGAGAGTGGACGAAAAGTAAGAGGGGGGCGCAGAGGAAGAGAGAAGGATGAAGAAGAGATGAAGGCTCCAAAGCGCTGTTTTTTAGCCTTTCCCATCGGATGCTGACCCACAACCTGAATATGTGTCACTGGAAGAGCTCATGAGTTGGACTGATTATTTAGCAGGCTGCTACGTTTCATCCCTATCCGTTTCCTCCTCCTCACACTGACGTCTATCCGCTGCTGAAGCCAGAAAGAAGAAAAAAGAAAAAAAACTTTGATTACACATTTTTCCTGCACTGGAAGCTTTTGCCTCTGGCTTTACCGGTAAGCGTTGGATCCGTCAACTTACTGCGACTCTCCGGTGTACAGCCCGGACCTCTGCCCCAACATGATCGCAACACAAGCAAAGCTGGTTTACCAGCTCAACAAATACTACAACGAGAGGTGCCAAGCGCGCAAAGCGGCCATTGCAAAGACCATAAGGGAGGTTTGCAAAGTGGTGTCAGATGTCCTGAAGGAGGTGGAGGTGCAGGAGCCGCGCTTCATCAGCTCCCTCAGTGAGATAGACGCGCGTTATGAGGGGATGGAGGTCATCTCCCCGAATGAGTTCGAAGTGGTGCTTTATCTCAACCAGATGGGGGTCTTCAACTTCGTGGATGACGGCTCTCTGCCCGGCTGCGCGGTGCTGAAGCTGAGCGACGGCCGCAAGAGGAGCATGTCTCTGTGGGTGGAGTTCATCACCGCCTCCGGCTACCTCTCAGCCCGGAAGATCCGCTCCAGGTTTCAAACTCTGGTGGCGCAGGCCGTGGATAAATGCAGCTACCGCGACGTGGTGAAGATGGTGGCCGACACCAGTGAGGTTAAACTGCGGATCAGGGAGAGGTATGTGGTGCAAATCACCCCCGCCTTCAAGTGCACCGGGATCTGGCCTAGGAGCGCAGCGCAGTGGCCCATGCCCCACATTCCCTGGCCGGGACCCAACCGGGTGGCAGAGGTCAAAGCGGAGGGATTTAACCTCCTGTCCAAAGAGTGCTACTCTCTGACCGGGAAGCAAAGCTCCGCGGAAAGCGACGCCTGGGTGCTGCAGTTCAGCGAGGCCGAGAACAGGCTGCTGATGGGCGGCTGCAGGAAGAAGTGTCTGTCCGTCCTGAAGACTCTGAGGGACCGGCACCTGGAGCTGCCGGGACAGCCGCTCAACAACTACCACATGAAGACCCTGCTGCTGTACGAGTGCGAGAAACATCCCAGGGAGACGGACTGGGACGAGTCCTGTCTGGGAGACCGACTAAACGGCATCCTGCTGCAGCTCATATCCTGTCTGCAGTGCCGCAGATGCCCGCACTACTTCTTGCCAAACTTGGACTTGTTTCAGGGAAAGCCTCACTCAGCCCTGGAGGCTGCAGCGAAGCAGACTTGGAGACTAGCGAGGGAGATCCTCACCAACGCCAAAAGCTTGGACAAATTATAGAACATTCTGGGGATCAAATCTAAGACTTCTCACACTCCAACCGAGTCTCCAAGAAATGTGAAAAAAAGAAAAAAAAAGCGGAGAAAAATTTGGTCCACTGCCACAGAAAGAATTGAAGGTACAGATTTCTGCTACATGTAATACATTTGTCTTCTTTAAATGTTTTCACAAAGTGAAGAACCTTTTTATTTAAATATATGCACAAACTCGTTAAGTGGAAGAACAGGATTGTAGTGTGCCAAGTTAATTTTTTTTCCTCCATTATGTGACTTTAGAAGAAATGTTAATAAAATGTTGCAAATTAAATTACAACTTGGCCTCATGTTTTGACGAGTAAATCTCCTTTTTTATTTCAACAATGTCTTCTAAAGAGAGAAAAAATAAATAAGATAGTGTACCTGAAATATGAAAAAAATATATAACTAAGGAAGTATGCTTGGCAAAAAAAAAAAAAAAAAGAAGTTAACTGGGTCAGAAGCATTTAACATAAATATTTCTGACATGAAGGCCTGCAAGCTTCTCAGCTTTCTGTTTAAACTGTTAAAAATAACCAAATATCCCAATCTGGCTGGGATTTAACAACAATTAAATAGGATTAAACAATGGGATTAAACATAAGATTTTCACCAATTCTCTTACATAATTTGTATTATCCATTAAAACATTCCACTAAATGTTTTTTTCATGCAGTTGTACAGCAAAACACGCCCACTTTAAAATAAATATTAAGCGTTGGTTTCACACCCACCTGTGGGTCACATTTAGATTTATTTATCCAAGAGGATTTTTTCAAACAATAATTTAGAAATTTACTATATTTTAGAAATTTACTAAATGCATTTGGAATGTTCTTCACTTTTTGGGTGTTTCTTTCTAAAAATGCACAAACTTTATTTATTAACTACATTTGCAAGCGTGGGCATTGAGTGCGCAGCATGCTGAGTGCAGATGGAGCCCTGCTTACCTTTGGATCGATGTCCTTAAAGCTCGGATCGTCTTCATCCACCTCGAAAAAGAGCTCAGAGGCGGTGACCGACAGGGTGCCTTTCACCACGGCAGCCGGAGCGATGAGCTGAGCGCTGCTGCTCACATTTACTGGGCCTGCAGGACACACACAGCCCGCTCAGACTAAAACACACCCAGCTGCTCTATAAACTATACAAATATATATATTTAACATATATTTAGCAGGTGTTTTAAGGTTAAAATGTTTCAATGCGCCTGAACACACATTTTGCAACACAAATAAATGCTTAAAAGTGTTTTTCCTTCATTAACACGCTTTTAAAAGCCCGGTGCCCCTGTAAATTATATATATATATATATATATATATATATATATATATATATATATATATATATATATATATATATATATATAAAATAATAAACCTTAAACTTAATAAAGTAGAGGAAATTTTCAGTATCGACTGTCGGTGAGAAACGCATTGATTGCGGGCTTTAGGGAGAAGCCGCTTCATCTCTCATCAATCTTAATTGATGCCAGGATGACAATAAGATCCAGGCTCAGGGGAGCTGCGCGCAGCGGCTCTGCCCAGCCGGCTCTGCACATGTGCGGCTTTGTGTTGCAGATGGAGCAGCTAAGCTGCGGGGCTTGATTTCCCTGCAGAGCAAAGCGCTGCTCGCACAAATGGATCCACGCTGCAGCACTGACACCTTACCCCTGCGCTGGAATAACATTTTTTACTCCGTTCACTCAAAAGACATTCAATTACACCTGAAGCAGACAGCTACTTGAGGTGACAAGATGAACTGCTGCAGCTACAAACTCACTCCCCTCTGCAGCATGCAGATCCCATCATTAGACAGGGATCAGCATATAATCCTATTGTTGTCCAGCTGCTTTATTTAAATAGCGCTCTGAGGCTTTACTGGTGGATTATAATCTGGAGCTGGATAATATTCAATTAGCCAAATATGATCAAATAAATAATGGGAGCAAAGATTAAAAAAATCAGCACTTAGCATAATGTGTTTAATCTGCTTATTTTGCTTTAAAGAATATTTTCTTTTTTTTTTTGCTTTAAATAAAAAAAAATTCATTTAAAAATCTCTCTAAAATATGATTTTTAAATAACAAATATTGAGTCATATAGAGTTGAAAGGGGGAAAATTATTTGTGCAAATATCTTTGTATTTATTTTAACCTGCTATTTAAATGTGTGTAGACTTTTAAATAAGAATAATACAATAAAATATAATATTAAGATGTGATTTGAAGAACGAGGAAGGCATGTCCTCTGTATTAAACAGACAAGATGACTAAATTAACTAATAAAGTGAATAAAAATAAAGCAATAGAGAATAATAGAGTTAGGGTGGGGGTGGGTGACTGTGAGGCAGGGGAAGATGATGAGCTGCTTCTGTACCTGTTAGGTTCTCCAGGTCCTTGTCCTCTAAGGACGACAGAGTGTCATCGTCTCCATCCAGTGGCATCTCGCTCTCAGAGTTTTGATTCCCCAGAGCCTGACCTCTGATGGGCTGCTTGAGAATGTCCTCCTCAGCTGCTAAAAGGGAGGAAAGATTTTTCTCTCCTTATTCTACTCCTTTATACGGTTTTACAACACAATACAACAGGTTTGTGCGCGGGGAACATTGTATATGGATTTACACACGGAGGGTATTTGCTTTATTAATGAAAGAGACAAACATGCTTGAATTTATTGCACAATGCAGTTTGAAGGAACGCACACATGCATTTGAGGCTGATGAATTCCCCTAAAAAATAAAAAAAAAACAGACTCTAATGCAGGAATTTCTTTTCTTCAATTTTAAACATCCAAAGTTTAAAGTTAAAATCAGAAAAGTAAAAACACACCAAAAATAAAAGTGTTTACATCTTTATAAGATTTTAAAAATGCATGATGGAAGAAGTTAAAATAGCTTCTAAGCTAGCAGCCAGGATTACCCCGATCGTTTTTCGACGTATCTGCCGCATGATAAATGATAAACATTAAGGCAGAAAACTAATATAATTTGAGTTTGAGATCCCCCCGAACTCATTACCCAAAACAATTTGAACAAGATAAGGCTCTTTTCACTGCACAAGATTTAAGGCTCTGCCTAGATCAGAGAAAAATAAAAAATGCAATCAGTTAAAGAGCATTGCATGGTGGAGATAACTGGGCAGGAACGGGAGGTGTGACGACTGGTTGGAAAGGCTTCCTTGTTTGTAAACAGCTGGCAACAACAAGAGCTCCAGCCATGTCTGCTACGGTGTCCTGGTGAAAGTACTTCAGACTCGTCGGATATCCTTTAGTCATCACCTGAGCCTGGCAGAGGGATCAACTGCACCAGAGCGCCATGCAGCTTCACTTTGAATCCGCTGGTGGAGAGGGGCTAAAAAATCTCTTGTCATGGAAAATATGCAGCTCACAGATATTTAGAATGGCCTTCCTGTAATTAAGCCTCCCTCGAGGATTCTTTAGTTAGCAGCACTGAAATTACTACCAGCTCTCCTAATATGTACCACATGCCTTTGTATTTGCACCATGCAAGTGGACAGGAGACTTGTTAAAAGAGCTTAAAAACAGACATGGATTAAACTTTAATGTTTATATATTAAGATCTCATTTCAATATTTAAAGGGCTGCAAAATACAGCATCAAGACACAAAAACAACATTCTGATAGGATTAAATATAACAGCCTTACATATCAATACTCAGTAGAATAAAATAAATACGCTATTGGTTGCACAGACATAAGGCATGTTCCTTTTCCTACATAGGTTAAAAAAATAACAGGTGCCGTTTCATATAACTATTGCTTTTTCTACTAACAGATTTCTTTTATCTGGTTTTTATTGTTCGATTTCTGTCTACATGACTTTATTTTGTCTATTTTTTACAATTTAAATTCATTTTACAAAACACACAATTTCAACTCCTTTATTTTTGCTTTTTTTCTATTTTTTTGCATTTGTTTTACAGTTTTAAACTTTTCATCTTATTTGTTTTTTATTTTACTTAATTTAATTTTAATCTTAGTGCATTTTATCAAACACAATTCTTTTAATTTAACTGATATTTCAGAATTTATCATTAACTTGAATTTTTAACTGTATTTTCTATATTTTACTGGTCTTTTTGTAATTTTTTGCTATGCAAATTTTTTTTTTTTTAGTTGGCCAAATTCTATGTACATTAAATCTTTATTTTAATAATTTCATTACACAGTAAATTTTGCAGCGTTAAAGTAACACTTGAAGAGTGCATTTGGTCCCACTTGGAATTAGTGTTAAATTAAAACACGTACAACTACGTAGTATATATCTTACTCCAGTTGTTGTAATAACTCTAAAAGTGTCAATGTACTTTGACACTACATATTAAACTCTGGAATTTACTGTGTAGATTTTACTTTTTTCATCAATTTTAACTTTTTATATTTTCTTATTTTGACAATTTATTATTAAATATGAAATTTAGATTCCACATAAATTTGCTTGACATTTATGTTTTTTTAATACCTTCACAATTTGCCCAATTTATTCAAACAGAAAGACTGCCACTTTATCAAAAACCTAACCCAGCAACCTTGGCCTCATCTCTAACTACACTGGCCGCAGAAATGCGGATGAATCCTAACAGGTTTCTCTTTTTCAAGACCTCCTTCTCTACACCGAGTGGCTCAACTACCTGCTTCTTCAACTGAAGGCATGCACGGTCACGGCAATTAAATTGTCAGAATTAACAAATTTGTTTTTAACGGGAGCACAGCCAGCAGTGTGGTCATGAGGCGAGTATTGATTACCAGAACAGAGACATTAGTCTTCAGGTATTTACTCTGCCACCTCTGCTACACGGGCCCCATACCAGACCGAATCAATCCCCAAAAAAGATGGTTCTTTCCATCCACAAATACATAGCAGCCTACTGGCAGCCGCACACTTTCCTGTGGAAGTCGACTTGGCGCTGTATGAATGACAACAGTTTCTTCCATTTTAACACGAGCAGAAATATTTTCTCAACATTTGAACAGAACATGCAAAGTTCAAATTCTCTTTAGATAAAAAATGAAACACGTAACCTTCTCATTTCAGGATAAGCCCTGATATTTGACAAGTAGCCAGTAAAGGAGGGCTCGGTCCTATCTTAAATATTTTCTTTGAGTGTGAGACTCTGCTTTCCCCCCTGCATCTGATGAATATAATTACAGCCAGATATGACCTTTGTGCTCTGTGTGAAAACTTAGTCCTGCATTCTCCTCTTGAGCAGCACTTCCGTAACAAATGTTGGGTCGACTAAAACAAGACGAAAGGTTACATCAGAAAATGGATGCCGTCAGCCCTCAATGTCAGGGAGTTATTTTAATGATATATTCCCATAGTTTAGGCAGGCAGTATTGCCTTACATGGTTGCCATTCAGCAACTGTCTGCTGGCTATTTTTACATAAATTTGACTCGTGGATAAAACATTTTGCTACATGAATTTGTCTTTGTTGCAGCAGATGAATAAATGCAGCACATCAGCCTAAATTATTCTGAATAAAACCAAACACCAGAGCAAATGGTAGCCTTCAGGGGATCCTGAACTTAGTTCCCATTGCTAAAAATGATAATCACAAAGGAATAAAGGAAATGTGTGAGCTCTGTTATAACTTAGTGTTAGGGAAACATGAGGGAACCTTATGAAAATTGAAATTCAGAGCCTTGCAGTAGAAGAAGAATGACCTGCTGGACTTCAGGCTCCCTGTTCAGCTGCACTGTAGCGGCAGAACAGGAATCTCCCAGGATCCCCGGATCCCCAACATTTATTACCTGTAGATCATATTCTTATTGACTCTTGTCACACCAACCATTTGTCTTCAGACAGCCTGAGACATAAAGGGAAGCTTGCAAGCGACGTAGAGAGGATGTTCTACTTGCTGGAAAAAGCCTTTTTCAGTGAAGAATAATTCAACATGCAGGCTAATGTTGACCCACCATGACAATGATTACAAAACCTGGTGTGTGCTGAATATCTGCAGACATGAGGGATTATATGCACTTGAGAAGAGAAACGGGACTCTTGGTGTTAATGCAGGGTTTGGGTATATCTAAATATTTTGTTCTGCAGAGATGGTCGGAAAAAAAACAATTACATATTTTCCGATGAATGAAAAAATAAAACGTAAAAAAAAATAACAGATTAAACTCAATGTAAACTGCTTTTGTGGAAAGCCTTACGTTTAGGAATATTTTAATATTCTGCCAAAATACAGCTCTTCCAAACTGGTTTTAAGAGCACGTTTAGGTAAAAGTAGGTTGTACTTGGGGAAAAAGCTAATTGTTATTTTGTAGAATTGGTAATTACAACCTAATGCATACTGTAGGCAGAAAAGGACACTTAAAATTGTAATTTTTTTCTGGGTATAAAATGTATATTATGTTGCCCAGAAATCTTAGGCAACATAATATAAGGTTTCATCAATAAGGTGATTTCTCTGAATAAAATAAAAGTTGAATACAGCTGGATTTGTTTAAATAAAGGTTCCAGTTATTTTTACCTCTTTGTTGGCCCTTAAATATTCTAAGTACAGCTATGAAAAAAAACATCTTTATCTTCTCCATAACCAGTGTCTGTGAAGGTAAACCCGATTATGACTGCTTTTCTCCAATCAGACAGAATACATTTCTTACTGCAGGTGTATTGGAGCCACACCCTTTGAGATGCACCTATTATCCCTTAGCAACGGACTATTAAAGCTACAAATAGGAGTCTGTGGACTGTATAAGTAAGTTTTATTTGCATAATTAAGAATATATAATTAATGCTATTAATGTTTGACATTTATCACAAGGTTATCCACCTGTGATAAAAGAAATATTTACATTGGAATAAAACCCTCAGTTGCCAATTAATTCTCCAGTCAACATTAATTTGCATAATTTCTGTTTAAAGTTCTCAGGAATACGTTCAAAACAGATCTGATTAAGTTGAGGTCCTTGGACCGTTTCTTGGATTTTACCAGCAATTTTATTTTCCTTTGCGTCCCTGTCTATTATCTATAAATTCAGATGTAACAAACTTGCAACTAAAATTAGAAGATTTTCTAAGAGACATAAGCCCTGGATGTGCGAAGGTTTTCACATATTAACCACAGAAAAAACTATAATTGGTCCAACAAATACTCCAAGAGTTATCTTTAGCATTTCTCATTTTTAAAAGTAAATCAAAGATGTGGACCTAAATGATGCAACAAAATGTTTTCAAATCACTTAAAAAAATCATGGGGAAAAAAAATAGTGAATTACAATTTTTTTTTTTTTTTTTTTATATTTTCTTCAAGTGAATAAAAGTTCCCAAATTACATGTAGTGTCAATTTTTTTGTGATATTTTTGTGATATTATGCTAGAGTACAAAAAAGTTTGAAGAGAATTTAATGAGTTTTAACATATCAAAAAGGCTGTCACTAAAGTTTTAGATTTAATGCAATTAATCCACTAAGAGAAAACAATCACAAAATCTCATGTTTAGATGGGAAATGTACGGAGAAGGGAAAATTATTTCTGCTTACCTCCAGTATCAGCCGCTGGTATGCAGCCATTAAAAAAAAAAAAAAGTAACCAATGATTCATAATTCTGTGAACTGGGAGAACTTGAGTAGGTTTAATTTATGAGCAATGTGAACGTGTGAAATTCAAATGTGGGTGTTGTTTTACTGTGTGTCGTGGAACAATAAATCTTTTATTGCAACAAGAGGACTAATTTTTATGAGCTTGTACCTAGTGCAATGCGGTGTGTGGAGTAAATGGGTAGATAAGCAGATGTGGTGGAGTTGGACTGACCATGTTCAGCTGCTGCTTTGAGCGTAGCTTCTGAGTGACTGGATCCAAAGGGGTTCCTGATGAAGCGACGTCGCCGCCTTAAATCGTCCTCCCAGTAGTCCAGGCGCCAGAACTCCCTCGGCCGGCTGCAGTGAGACAGAGGTTGCACATGTGTTAGCAATTACCAGCCAGCATGGTATAGCAGCCTAGCATTAGCACTTGGTCAGGGCAGGCATGCATAAAGCCTGCATTGTGTTTGGAGTTTTCCCTTTTTTCACAGCCCTCGGGATCCCTATTCAAAAACATTCAGCGTACACACACCAGGTCTCCAAGTCATTGTGGCCCTGTTCTTGACAATGACTATATCTCCATCTCTAAGGTAAAGGTGTCCCCCTCCCCTCCCCTTCCCTCAGGCTGTTTTGGAGGAGATGAACTGACAGAGTGAGCATCATCACAGATGAGTGAACACATGACACTGTGATCATTTTGCACACACGTTTGTGGCACGTGGTTCCATTCTGGGCTCATTTCAAGCCCAGCAGGATACTCCTTGTCAGGATTCATGGCCAGCAGGATAAGGAGAAGGCCATTACTAACACAGAGGAAGGGGTGGATAGCATTACCAATATTAATCAATGTCTATAGCCCACATTTTCTTTCCAGTTCAGATCTTCTTTACCAGTGTTTGTCAGCACATTACTGGGTTCTACCACTGTATAACTTTACCCTAACAGTAATGTAATATAAGCAGAGCATTTCCTAAAGAACTGAAATAATGCATCATATTTTACAAAACTGTCAAAATCCAATAAAATATGATCTAGAAGTTTGTTTTTTTCCAAAAGTTGACCAAATTACAAACCAAAACAAAAATCTGGCATTATGAACGTATTGATCCCTGCTAACCTCACAGAGCTGTGAGTTTTTACCATTTATGGATTTTAGAAGCATTTTTTGTTTGAAAATACAACGGAAATAAATCTAGAATAACGGCACAATTATAAGGTCTAAACAGTGGCAGCGGGCCAATAGAGGGCGCTAGGGAAACCCATCCAATGACCCTGATTAAGACATAAAATATATATTTTTTATAATTTAATTTTAAATTAACATTTAAAATATTTGAACATATATTAATATGTATTTCTTAGATGTGCAAGATAGATATTTAATCTATAATGAATAGTAAAGCGTCATTCCATCTTTTGTCGGATTTATTACGTATTTCCGCCCTAGGGCGCAAAAAACATAGCCCATAGACTCTCGTTAAAAGTTGCTCATGCGCAGTAGCTCCTCTGCAACATAAAGGTATAGGAAAGTTCGGGGCGAAGCTCTGTTACGCCCCGAGCTGACAGGAAGTGTATTTGCTCACCACCTCCCGCCACAGCGCAGACGCTCTGCAGGTGATTGACAGGTCAAGTCGTGGGAGTAAGAGACGTATTGGAGAGAGAGAGAAAAATGGACCAAGACCTGTCCTTTTTCAGGACCTGCTTTAGCAAAAAGGCTTGGCTAACTGCATTTAAGCGATGCTTACACTTTATTCTGCTTTTCCTGCCTCCTTTTTCAAACGCCAGGATCTGACCCAGCATGTAGCACTTTTTAGAAAGGCAAAGAAGCATTAAAAATCTGGAATTCACATGGAAAATAATAAGATATAGTGTACTATTTCTAGATGTTTGTTAATTTGCATAGTTGCTCTTAAATAAACACATTCTCAGAAAATAGTTTTTATATATAAAAAAATATATAAAGCTGACTTATAGCTTCCGCATTATTAAACTTGTAAAAAAAATTTAGGTGTGACAATATTGGACCATGTTAAAAATTTATTTATCTTCACAAAGCCTCAGAAGGGCAAGATTTATCTACAAAAAGTAAACCTGTACATGAAATTATGTTCTGTTTTTATAACGTGTTTTCATAATTTTTTTGTTGTTGGCATTCAAATAAATATTCTGGTGAGATAAGTATACGTTTGATTGGTTTTTGTTACACGTCTATTTTAAATTTATAGCCCCCCCTGGAGAAAACTCCACCAGCCGCCACTGTGTCTAAATGCAACCATACATACAAAAATTATTTTATTGGAACCACTACCACAACTGTTACTATGTCTGATCTATTGGTGAATAAACAGAAGAAAAAAAAATGTTTGCCAAATATTTTATTCTAAATAAAGTTTCACTGATTTTTCCAACTTTCTTTTCTTTTTTATTTTTTTATTTTATATTTTCAAATGTCCCTTTTTCAAATTAGGATTTTCATGAATTGCATTATTCTCAAACTACATTTTACAGATCATACTCTCTTCACTTCAAGCCCGATACAAGCGCTCGCTCTTGGCCAATGAAAATGTTGCTGAGGTCCATGCAGACCGATGGAAATGTGTGTTCAGTCCTCTATGCAGAGGAAAGCCCCCCACCCCCTAGAAGTAAAGAGATCTGGGAATCGCAATTTGAAAAGAATACAGTTCATAAAACTACATTTGGAAGAGAAGTTTGAAAAAATATTATTTAAAAATACAAAAGCTGTAAAAAAAAAAAAAGAAAATTGAAAAACAAAAAGTTTAAAACATAAAAATTAAGAAAACAGCAACTTCACTCTAAAAACCTTTTTTTTTTTTTATTAAGAAGTTTTCCAGTTTTCTTTCTGTATTGATTTTTTGTTCCAAATCTCCATTTATACAACTTCTTTTTTTTTTTGCTTTCTACAATAATGGAGCAAAATTCACCCCTGGCACAAATAACCGATAAGTCCCAAAAACTGTGCCCATTAATCTTTCAAATTAGAAAACGGAATCTGATCAAATAGAAATGATGATTTCCATCGGAGGGTGCGTTCTGCATCAAAGAACCTTTGGTCACAATAATATATAATCATTACTGTGTCTGCTGCAGTTTGTTAAGTGAACTGTGCCTAAAGCTCAAAGACTACAAAGTAATGATCACTTTTATAAACTATTATTTATGGAAATACTGGGTTGTTGGAAGGTATGGTGCTTTAGTTTCTAAGGAGTTTCTAAGGATACCGGGCATGAGGGAATGAGCAAAAACAGATTTTTCTGTAAGAGTTTTGTAATGTTAGATATTTAAATAGTTTCCTGTGTGTTGAAAGTCTTGTAAAACCAATAGTATTTATGGACAGAAAAAAATCACTAGTTTGATTTATAAACCTTGTGCTTTGTGGGACATAAAAAACAACTTTGTCCTACTTTTATATTGGGTTAAAATATATGCTGCCATCTCAGTCTGGGCTCAGAGGGCATGAGGGGATGCTTTCCCTATTGAGATGAGAGCCTCATAACAGACTGCTCCTTGAGCAGTAAGGGCACTCTGTTAAATACTATAAAACCTTAACCCTATAACACCAAATGTATCGTATTTGATACATACGGTTTCTGAAATGGTTTGCATCTGACACCTTTTGCATAATTTAATGGTAAAAACTTTGCTCAAAATCCTATTGTACACAATCAGATATACCTGATAACAGCCAGTAGAAGACTACACAAAAAAGAATCTTGACTTATCGCATAGTAATAAATTATTAATATCAAAAATGTATTTCTGTTTTTTCTTTTTACATATTTTGTCAAAAAGGCAAATAAGGAATTCAAAAAAAAAAAAAAGTAATTTTCTATTTTGTTGTTTTCTTGGATTGGGCTTTAAAGGGTTAAAGAAGCCTCAGTTAGTTTATCTGGTAGCATTCTGAACAATGTAAAAATATATATATAGACAAATCAGCAGATAAAATAAGATTATTTGTTTGCACAGAGAGAAAGATTTTAATAAGTCATTTCATCAAAGTCTTAATCAAATGGTAAGGCTCACCTAGTGGGACTATATTTACCAAACACATAACATTTTACATAACATGCAAACTAAAGCACTCTAATACTGGGTGCAATAAATATTGAGATATTAATTTGTGTTCTATGAAGAATAAAAAGGATCATCCGCTGGTTGTGGGATCAAGCAGTGATTTTTGTTTATCTTTATATTGACTTGTTAACCTTTGATATATTCTAAAATAAATGCAGTTGGGAAGCTTTTCTCTCTCCCTCCCAGAGGGAGAACGCAGACAGAGGCAGATGATCCCTTGTAGCAACCCCTGGGAGGAGCAGGAGAAGGAGGAGGAAGAGGAAAAGGATAGAGAAGAAGACGAGGATGACGAGGTGGTGTTGGGGGAGGAGATGATGTTCTAAAACAGCATTTAAAACTGTTGTCAAGTCAGAAAAATATATATCATAAGGTATCATAAAGTGAATGAGACGTAGTACAGTGTGAGAAGACACTAGTGGTAAAAAACAAAACAAAATAGCATGTCTTTGTTTAACATATTGCATCTAATTTAACAACATTAAATCAGAGAGAATTATCTGGTCTTCATTATGAAACTACAGCAAAGAAAATAACATGAAATAAACATTAAATAAAATGTAGAATTCATAGCTATACTATAGTTAAGTTTCCATTTGGGATTAATGAAATATTTTTGAACTGAATTGAATAAGGGGCTCAACCTGACGGGGGGGACACATAAGGGCAGGTTTAAGCAAAATAAACACATCTTAGACTAGATTTTCTAGAATATATTCAATGCAAGGATGTTTTGTGCATAAAATGTTGTGTGATCTGCTGCAGTCTGTATTTCCAAGATGCTTTGTGATCAAACCTTGTTGCAACAAGGGTCACATATTTCACTATAGGGTACAGATAGAACAGCAATTTCTACTCATCAATAAAACCCCTGCTTTGAGAAGATTCCCTAAACAAGAAAATTGGGCAATACAGTGAAAATAAAACATTTTCAAGGAAATTTTGAGATCTTTTGAAAGGGGGCAATCATTATTAAACTGAAATCATTATTTTTTTGTGTTATTGTCCTATTTTGTAATAAATACATGTTGGAATTATGACCTCATTATTACAGATATGACAAACATCTAATCCTTGAGCAGAAAAATGCCAGATCAACGTGGTTAACTTGGCTCCACTGCATAATTACCCATGGGCAAAAAGGCCCTGCAATCTATCCAAGGCTGAGCTTATATTACTGTATGTTTTCTCACACGTAATGACAACACAGATTACAGGTTCAATCCAGGAGAAAGGGAAATATGTTCAAACATCAATCTTCTAATTTC